AGTGTGAGTGTCGAAGTGTAAGTGTCGAAGTGTCAGTGTTCAAAGGATTTTCCGGAAGAACCCTTCGCAATGCTTTCGGGAAAAAACTCACCGACCCCAATAGTACCGGGCTAAAACTTCTGGATACATATTGAGTCGTTCATTTTGGGAAGCCATGGCCGTCTAGTCTGTCTTTGGCTGGTGGCCGGTCATTTCCCAAAGCCCTGTGAGCCATTGCCATCCAAGCAGTTTTTCTTGCTCTAAAGAAGCTTGAGAAACTTTGCATTGGCTTTGAACAACTTCAGCAATCAGATGGCTTTGCATCAGATATCCCCAACCCTTTGCATGGCAAAGCGTTCCAACTGATCGACAAATCGATGTCATGGAGACCCTCAGACCCATGCAAAACCATGGAACATGTCCCCCATGGGTAGAAATGAGAAACTGCAAGAGTTGCCTCCAGGCGCCCCAGGGGCGCCCCTGGGTGCGCTGGGTGTTTCTGGGTCGATGATGGTCGTTTTCCAACACCGGTGCTTAACTGCCGTAAGAAGCCCAAACAGTGTGTCCACACTGGGGGAAGAAACCAACTCATGGGTCGACTTTCCGTCGTTCTCCATGAAACCCAAGTCGTCTCAGCTCACCGGCTCACCGCGCCCGGCGCGGTCCGCGCGCTCACCGCGCGGTCCGCGCGGGGTGAGGAGGGTGAGGCGTCGCCCGCTAAGTAGGCTTCGAAATCGGAGAAGGTCACGGAACCAGACTGGCCGGTGGGTCGGTGGTTGATCTGATTGGACCTGGGTGCGTTCGGACCAGAAAGGAAGATGTTCATATATGTCTATGCAGCTAGCCTATGCATCTCGATGCTATTATACCTGAAGCCCACTTGACACCTGCTTTGACAATTTCACAGGAAAAAAAACACCCTCAATTTAGGGTGGTAGGTGATCCAAAATAGAGGTCACTGAGGTTCTGAGTATATAATATTTGCAAGTGAGAGGAACTTGGGAACGCAAATCATCTCGAAGCATGGCTGAAAGTGGGAAAGGGTGAAGCTGATGGGTCATTACACTGTACAGCGCAAGGGTTGGTCGCATGATGGACAAAGCTTGATCTGTAGGCACAAACGGCAACCAATCACTCCTACCAAAGATCGAATCAAGATTTCAACACACTTGCAGCAAATCAACAAGTCATCCAGGAGTTCCCCACAAAAATCAACCATAAATTACCATAGATAAACAACCTAGGAGTGAATCACATGACCACCCTTCCCACCTTCCACCATCCTCCACCTTCACCACCATCCTATTCCGGGCGATTCTGCGTTCCGGTCGCCTTGGAGCGGTCCATGTCCCGGAAGAGCTCGGTGCTCTGGGCGCCCAAGGGTCGGCAGGTTTCCAGGCACCTGGGCACGACACGGCCCGTCGGGCCGCGGAGCGCGTGGCGGTGAATGCGGCGGTGAACGCGGCGGAACGGATGTTGGGGGGGCCGGGAGCCAATTGGATGTGGGTGTCGTTGTTTTCTGCAGTGTTCTTTTTCTTTGGTTTCAACGATATCAGTGCTCTTCAAGTAAAACATGTAAAAATAACAAATGGTTTGCAATCTGTTCTGGAGGAACACATGGTCACATGGACATCTCGCATAATCTTTTACCAAAGGTTGAGTAATTATCCTTTAGATGTAGGAAGTCTCTATGACGCAAACTAGGTTACAAAGTCACCACGCCCAATGGCCATGGCTCTGTAAATTCTGGTTTGGTTCTCCTGCAGTTGAGTTGATGTGCCGTGCCAAACAAACATCACACGTTGCAGGGCTGACCTTGGAAAACTACCGCATCAATGGTCTTAGCGTTAGATTTGTGCAGTGCTTTGCTTTTGGCTAACATCTTGACAAAAAACAAAGCACATTTTGCAGTCCGAAAACTTTTAATACACATGTCCCGACTGAATGTAAAAAGTTGGACCGTACTCACCACTTAGCAAAACCATGCAAACACCATTTTCTCGAGACGTTCTGACAAAGAAATATTGTTCAGGTCTGCGCAAACATCTGCCCCCACAAAAAGATCTCTCTGAGCGATCCGGACAGCTCGTGAAAACTCTTGACATCCAGGAAGCCTTGATCCTTCACGTCCAATGCTGAGAACCTCAGAGACTCGCAAGTTCCCACGTTTCAGGTGTTTCAGTAAAAATAGTAAAGTAAGTATACTTAAAGTTCATGGTAACCTCAGACTCACAAGTTCCCTGGTGTTCAAGTACCTGGCCGGAAATAAGGCGGCAATCTATCCCAGGGTTCTGTTTTTCATCCTTCACGTCCTTCACGTTGGCCAAACTCACAGGCTTCGTTGCTGGAGGAAGCGTCCGCGAGCTTCTTCGACTCTACGTTGGGAGGTTGGGTTGGGCGACATCGAGCGCCTCCAGTCAAGAGTCTAGAGTCTAGTTTTTTTGCAGCCTTTCTGCACAAACCCAGCTTGCACATGGCACATGAAACGTGTGAAATGCAAAACCCAGGAATAGAAGGCCTATCCTGTACATGACTGGAGGGGTTTCAACCCCAACCAACCCAAGCAAGCCTCAATCAAAGATTAGCCCCTCTCACTGTCACTGCAAACCATGGATTTGAGCATATGTTGGAATTCATCCAAAAAAAATCCATCATCACCTGGCATACACAAAATAGGTCAGGTATCATAGCTGGGCTCACACTTGTGCGATGTAAATTATAAACCAATTGGAAAGCCGCTGGAAACAATGCTGCTGGAAACTAACATGGTGGTTCTATGCTACAGAAAACAAAGGATAGCCAAAGAGGTGGTTGCACATTTGCACATGGATGTTGATGTCGCATGTACTGTTCTCGCTACCCGTTTCGCCGCAGACCTCCTTACATTGCTCAAACAAGATCAGCCCGGGTCGACCAATCCGATTCCGCATGACGCTTGGTGCAAACAAGGTCTTTTTTCCTGCGTGGACAAGAGATCGACATCAGTTGAAATCGATCCCCAGCATTTTAGCAAGATGTGGCTTGGTTGATATGGCACCTTGAGCCACTAACTTGTGGATGTCCTCAGTCAAACGATGCACGCAACACTTGGCTTTCTCGATCTCACGGTGCAGTTGTAGGCATTCAAGTTTGCTCTCTAGCTGCTCGACTAACTTGCTGTCATCGTTCTTTTCGGCATGCCATTTTCTGTTCTGAAGACCCTTTATGAGCTTGGCAAGTTGGCGGCCTTCAGCATCCAGTTTGTTGTGTCGCCCCTGATTGCCCGTGGTTGTGATACCACTCATTTGCTCTCGAATAGTCTCTTCGGAATTTTCAGGAAGAGATAGCGCAAGCTCAGCTTTGGACTTTTTGACAGTCAAACCAGCATTCAAAAACTTTTGGAGTACGGCGTGCACAGTTTTCTGGCCACAGACTGCCAATTGGTATGTTCCTGTCACTGAAACAAAATTCACATGCACATGTGATGTTCCAAGCATTAAATCAAGGAACGCCTTACTCTGAAGCAAAAGAGGCTTGTACTTCTGATCAAGCCTAAGTGTGAAAGACGCCCGGCACGAATGCAAAGAAATGCAACCATCTGAATCGAACAGGCCTGTCAAATACGGCCATGAAAGCCTTGACTGGGTTGGGATGTTTGGCGGGCCTTCCTTTAGGCCTCGTAGCTTGCTTGTCACCAATTGCCGCTCATCTTTGTCATCCGGCCAATTGCTGGCCAGCTGTAGCTGCTCCGTCTTACTCAAACAAGCTTGACACAGTTGCTTCGCTGCAATTCTAGCCTTCCCACCGCAAACCACCCACTTCAGTGTTGGCCGCTTCCTTCCCTTGCCGTGTTCACACACGTAAACACCTCCTCCAAAGAATTGCCGAAACAGGATTAGGACTTCAGCGTTCATGGCCACCTGTGTTATTTGCAGCTTACAGCCTGACAAGCCAGTCACAGGAGTCACACACCCGTCACCGTCAAAGAAACCACCCAGGTACGCCAACTCAGCTGCTGTAGGGGACTTGCTCGCCAACCGGCTTCGCAGTGGCAATTTGTATGTCTTGCCAAATGCTTGGAAGTGGGTCAACCTGGGCCAACGCAACGTCCTCATATATGTCTCCAGTCGAGCTCTCTCTTCCTTCAACAGTTTCAATAAGAGATCATGGTCTTCAGTTTTGGACATCACGGAAAACGCACGGCAATGGACTTCCCACCATATCACCAGGAGGGCGACCAGTGGTCCGACAACCCTTCGCGAGAATGCTGTCGGCCGCGATGCTGAGCCCATCCACCTTACCGACATGTTTTCAGCATTCACAGGCAAGCAGCCGATTCGGTGGAGCACCAAGTCATACAGGGATGAGGTCACAACAAACTGTCTTGACAACTCCTGCTCTTCCTACTATGGAATCAACATGCGCGGACGTTTCTGTCCTCCCTCAACTTTGATCTTGGGCCGACAAACAGAATTATGTTCACGTGATTGTAAGCCGCAAGCCCGCGCTACGCACCCTTCTCCAATTTCTAGAGAGCTAAACAAACCCACAAAATACAAACTTCCCAGTGGACCAATACATGTCAAAAGAGTTGGTTTTGAATGGGAATGGGCGCTCTTGATCCATATATCCAGTGGTCCAAACATCATGTTTGTGCAATTCCTGCAGAAGAAACATGTACCACTTCAAACACCACAACACAACATGGTTTCTGCGGTACATACTTTCCCGAGCAAAATTGTACAACAAATGACAAACATTCACTGGGTTTGTACCTTGGTGTTGAGGGCAAAGACATAATGCATCACACAGGCCAGCGGCCAGCCAAAACAGAGAAAAGAGTTCAGCACCAATGGTTGCTCTTGTGCAGTTCAATGTTGGAATCACAATCAGTTAACCCATTGCTAAGCAAACATGCTTCTCCCTTAGGGTTGCTTGGGCAAAATGCCATGGCAGTGTAAGTGAGGTCATTTTCTGTGAAAACTTCAGGTCATGCTCAGATCCAAACAGTTTCAAGTCATGTTCAGATCCAAGCAGTTTCAAGTCAAGCGCATCAGTCAAGTTCGGCTGTGTTGATGCGTACGACGCCAGCAGCTGCTGGATGTCCAGCCTCCGACGACATATGCGACATTTGGCATTCTCTATCTCGTGCTTGAGCTTCAAGCTTGCAAGTTGGCTCTGGAGCTGTGCCACCAAGTCAGCGTCGTTCTTCCGTTGGGCGTTGTATTTGGAAGTCTGAAGACCCTTTATGTGCTTGGCACGTTTGCAGCCTTCCGCATCCAGTCTGGCGTATCGCCCCTGATTGCCAGTGGTTGCGACACTCATCTTCTCACGAATAGCCAGGTGGGAGTTCTCAGGAAGAGACAGCGCGAGCTCAGTTGTGGCCCTTTTGACAATCAAGCCAGCATTGAAAAGCTTTTGGAGTATGATGTATACAGTTTTCTGGTCATAGACAGCCAGTTCGTATCCTCCACGACATTGTTGGACATGAACATGTGATGCTCCAAGCTTCAAATCAAGGAAGACCTTACTTTGAAGCAAAAGAGGTGCATACTTCTGAAAAATATCAAGCGACAAATATGCCCCATACGAACGTATATGAATGCAACCATCTGAATCAAAAAAACCCAGCCAAATGTGCCCATGAAGACTTGCTTCGAAATTTGGGAGGGCTGCGCTTTAACTGTTGTAGCTTGTCTGCCACCAATTGCCGTGCATCTTTGTCATCCGGCCAATTGATGGCCAGCTGCAGCTGCTCCGCCTTACTCAAACAAACATTGCTCAGTTGCCTCGCTGCAGCTCTAGCCTTCCCACCATGGACAGTCCATTGCAGTGTTGGCTGTCGCATTCCCATGCCTTGATCTTTTGCACATATGCTTCCTCCCAAAAACTGTCGAAACAGAATTAGGACCTCGGCATTGATTGCCAGCTGTGCTACTTGCAGCATACAGCCTGACAAGCTATATTCACGAGTCACACACCCATCACCGTCAAAGAAACCACCCAGGTACGCCAACTCAGCTGCTGTAGGGGACTTGCTCGCAATCCGGCTTCGCAATGGCAATTTGTATGTCTTGCCGAACGCTTGGAAGCAAGTCAACTTTGGCCAAACCAATGTGTCCACATACTGCTTCAGTTCATCCTCCTCATCCTTCAATTGCTTCAACACAGAATGGTCTTCAGCTTTGGACAACGTGGAAAATGCATGACATGGGATGCCATGGCATGGACCTACCAGGGAAGTCCAACGCCATGGGTCAAATGAATGGCGTGACAAGCCCGACATGTTTGGACCGGCCACAAGTGGTCCAATGGGCCTTTGCAAGAATGCTGCAACTCGAGATGCTGAGATCATCCGCCCGACGACTATGGGCCCTGCTCTCCGCAGGAAGAAAAGCTGCGGCTAGAGTGCAAATGGATGCAAGGATGACATGGCAGCAACACAACAAACCATGTCCTGCTGCAAACTGAACGCGGGTGAACCTGCTTCCATGCTTTTAAATGCTTTTAGGAGGTACTGTCGGTACTGTTCTTATCCCTTGGCATGCAAGCCTTAACTCCTGAGCCCAAGGTGCCCTCCAACCCGTCTGTTTGCAAGTACATTTTTTGCTTCTCCACTGCAACATCCATAGCGAAACAAACCTACAAAAGATACACACGATCCAAGTCCAAGTCCGGTGAATGTGGATGCGGGGATTTTGTTGACACTGTTCACAAGACTTGTGCATCACGTTCATGCCATTTCATTTCTGTTGACAAAACCAAACAAGCGCACCGTCTTGAAAGCCGAATTCTCAATCAAAGGGTCAGAATCTGTACACCACGTCAAGTAAGGAAAACTATATAACTTCCAAATCCTCCAAAGGGTCTTTCTTCAACATCAGCATGCTGCCCCTTTGCAAATCCAATTTGGGCTACAAACAGCACAGTACCTCACTTGCGGATACCGATGGGGATCCCGACAATCTTAGCGCTCTATCACGCTCTCCAAAGACCCTCCTCGAGCCGGTCACACTGTCACATTTGGCCTCAAACTAATATTAAAATGACAGAATAGGACCATGCAATGCATCGCGTTTCTGAAAGTTTGAGATTTTACAATAGGGTCATAGTCGAGTCATAGTCATAGGGTAGTATAATTAATAGGGTTAGTATGGGTCAGTCAATTGGCACAGAAAGAGTATTCGCGTTATGTATCCATTGCCAAGGGGAATCCTGACAGGTGCACCATGAAGGTTTCTCAACAGCATGGCACATGTTTCACATTTCACACAAACGTGCGGGATGAATGTCAATCGCAAATAACTATCCTAGTATAGGCGTGCATCAGATGGTGACCCTCCAATCAGTGCCCTACAAAGGACATTTGATGATCGTTACTCGATGTCTGGAATGAGAGTACACCTTCTTTTTGAGACTGTTTGATGCTCGCACCTACATCTACAACACAACCCACGGGGTGACTTGATCACAACAATAGCAAGCCCTACAAGCCCAAAGATTCAGGAACACCTGGTCCTTTTCTTCTTTGAACAACGTCTTTCTGTATGATCCGATCCAGTCAACCGAGCTCCACCGGGCCTCCGAGCTCCAACGAACCCTCCAAGCATCCACCGGCGACCGGCGACCGGACTCACCGGTTGGCCTCCGGTCTTCCACCAGGGCCAGGAAGGCCTCGCCCGGGGGACCAGGGGACCGGTGAAGGCCGCTAGCCGCACGACAAGGGAAGGGGCGGACGGTGCACCGAAGGGACGAACCGGATGGATTTCACAGCGGCAGATTGAAGGGTTCGTCAGTTCCTCGCAATTCTGGGTTGTGGTGAGTCTGAGTTTCAAGGCTCTAGGCCTTTCAATTCAAGACCCGATGTTCAGGATCCCATGTCAGTCAGGCCCTGAGGACAAGACCTTGTAACTTGTAACAATCCCATGGTATGGTTGGGCCCCCCCTACAATCATGGGATGCTTTCCAGATTTGTTACCACATATGTTTATGTCGCTACTGTCGCTAACACGTGGCCACCGGATCACTGTTTAGGGAAGAACCAAACACATGAGACTAACTTTATCTAACTTCCAACAAACGAGACCTTTGCTGTATTATGTGTCTTTGTTTGTATCCGTCTTGCTGTGACCAAAAATGAACTGGACACGCGAAACACCACAACCCCTGCCAAACATTGGAATGTAGGTGGAGTCAGGTAGCTGTGATGGTCACAAGCTACTTGCTTGATCATACCCTGCGAATCATTGCGTATATCAAAAGAACATCCATTGTGGTCATGCCAATTCGAACAAAAGGAACTGGGAAGATGATCCTAGCTACTTTAATGTGACCATTGAGGGTTTGGGCTTGCACTCTTCAAGAACTGCACGCGAGGCAAAACAGAACTGCTAGCTAGGCAGTGGACCTTTGCACTTGCAGCGCTGGCCTCTGCAACTTCGATTTATAGGGTGATTACTAATTCTAGATGCGGGGAATACATTTTATTTGCTCTTGGCCTGCGGAAGTGTCTACTTGGATGAAGGAATCGCTTGCAACTGCTTTCACCATATCCACCATGAATCTTAATGCAATGGCAAACAAGAAAATCGCTGATTGGCAATTACCTGCGGCTTCAGTGGAAGCACCAGTGTTCCGCTCCAGCGTCAGAGCTTCTGACTCTTGAACCTTTCTGCATCCCTTTGCGATGGGATTCCCAATGGTTATACAGCTTTGGGGGTCATTGTTTGCCGAACTTATTCTCAACAAAAGCTGTCCCTGCACAACTTGTGCCTGTGCAAGCCACCGCGTGTTATGCTTCATATGGCTCACAAGTCATGAGAGCACTCCACGCCAAGGTAATGACCACAGTCACCCTTTTGGCCTCCATCTTGAGGCCAGATTCAGACCTGCAGTGATGGTGCAAAATAATTTTGATCGAACGTCTGTCATCGAATCGAGACAAATCAGATCCCTCAAGTGGATACATTGAACATGTCCAGTGTTGTCTCCGCCTTCAAATGTGATTTTGGATCATCATGTCTGCTATCTACTTGATGGCTACAAGCCCATCCAAAGCATGTGATACTTAGGTGTATCACAGACCAACATTTATGAGAGTTGACCCTTACGTTTTCAGTTTAAACTGGTCTTACTTTGTACTTACGGCATTCGGAGCTCTTGAACTTAGCGCTGTTGAAATTGGCAGAACATTGGTATAGTGACTACTGTAGTGATACCAAAGCACCACAACACCACACATTGGCAGGGAGTTTGCAGGGGTCAAGACCGGGAAGGACGGATTGTCGCGCGTAACAAATGAAACTTTGAGAAGCCTGAGCATGTAAACATGAGAAGGAACAGCTGGTCACAGGTCGAAAGCAAGTATATATATATAATTGTATGTGATCACAAAACTGTACAATACAATGGCAGAAACAAAATCAATGTTTTGTGTGACATGGTGTGACAACATTTAGTAATACTTAGTAGTTGAATAAACAAAGTGTTGTTCAACCATTGACAGCAAGTAAGCATTTAGTTCTAAACCCTGTCCAGAAGTAAAGACCCTTCCTTTCCTTCTGCCTCGTTGTGTTCTCTTCAATTGACACTGATTGCGAATACCGATCAACCTGGCAAGCTGCATCCAGAAGGCACAGCAAGCAGCGCAGGGCAGCCAGGGCCCCGAACGCGTACTGTTCCATGAGATCCCTCAGGTCCTGCCAAACATCACTCGACGCCTCGGCGTCCGAGATCACTCACAGCGGTGGCGAACGGGATCAACGACGGGGCGACCAATGGGCAATGGCCCACGACGGCTTAGTTCAGCGTGTGGTCGGTAGGAATGCGAAATCGAGATAAGTAAAAAGCACCCTTTTAAGGGACTGGCTGCCGGCACGGAAACATCCAAGAGCAGCAAATCAATGG